GGCTCTCTAGTCTGTTCCACTGATCTGTGGGTCTGTTCTTGTCCCAGTACCAAATTGTCTTGATTACTGTGGCTTTGTAGTAGAGCTTGAAGTTGGGGAGTGTAATTCCCCCCGCCCCCCGCTTTATTCTTCCTTCTCAAGATTGCCTTGGCTATTTGGGGTCTTTTGTAGTTCCATATGAATTTTAGAACTATTTGCTCTAGTTCATTGAAGAATGCTGTTGGTATTTTGATAGGAATTGCATTGAATCCGTAGATTGATTTAGGCAGGATGGCCATTTTGACAATATTAATTCTTCCTATCCATGAGCATGGGATGTATTTCCATTTACTGATATCTTCTTTAATTTCTCTCATGAGTGTCTTGTAGTTTTCAGAGTACAGGTCTTTCACTTCCTTGGTTAGGTTTATTCCTAGATATTTTATTCTTTTTGATGCAACTGTGAATGGAATTGTTTTCCTGATTTCTCTTTCTGCTAGTTCATTGTTAGTGTATCGGAATGCCACAGATTTCTGTGTTTGTATTTTGTATCCTGCAACTTTCCTGAATTCAGATATTAGGTCTAGTAATTTTGGAGTGGATTCTTTAGGGATTTTATGTAGACTATCATGTCATCTGCAAACAGTGACAGTTTAACTTCTTTCTTACCAATCTGGGTGCCCTTTATTTCTTTGTGTTGTCTAATTGCTGTGGCTAGGACCTCCAGAACTACATTGAATAAAAGTGGAGAGAGTGGGCAACCTTGTCTTGTTCCCGATCTTAAAGGAAAGGCTTTCAGCTTCTTGCTGTTAAGTATGTTATTGGCTGTGGGTTTGTCATATATGGCCTTCATTATGTTGAGGTACTTGCCCTCTGTGCCTGTTTTGTTGAGAGTTTTTATCATGAATGGATGTTCAATTTTCTTGAATGCTTTTTTGGCATCTATGGAGATGATCATGTGATTTTTGTCCTCAACACCCACCAGTCTTACAATCAAGGTCAGATAAAATGCAGGACACCCGGAAAAATTTAAATTTTAGATAAACAACAAATAATCTTTTCATATAAATATGTCCACGCAGTATTTAGAACATCTTATCCAAAAAAAGTGTTCATCATTCATCTAAAACTTGAATTTAGCTGGGTGTCTGGTTATTTTTATTTGCAAACACCGGCACCCTACCCAATGCCAGAGAAGGGCACAGGCGGGCAGTCAGCCAGGTCTGGATCCCAGCTCAGCTCTCCTGCATGTGCGCCAGACCCTCCCCAAGAGCCTGGCATGAGGGCCACAGAAGGGGTGAGCAAAGTTCTGTGGCTTGGTATGGGCTGCTCCCTATTACAGGAGGGGAAGCAGGAGAGGCTTGCCTGTGCCAGTAGGTGGCAGAGGTGGGAGCAGACCGCACACCTGGCACAGACCTGCATGGAATGAGTTAATGAGTTGGGTACCTGCTTGCAGAAAGAGTTAATGAGTTGGAGCATGAGTCAGTGCCAGGCTGGTGCCATGGAGTGTTCTTGTCCAGCCCCCCTCCCTTCCCTCAAACTGGGCTGGAATGTGGAGAAAGACAGATACTGTATGATTTCACTTATTTGTGAAATATAAAAACAAAGCAAAACAGAACGAACAAAACAGTAGTAGACTCATAGACACTGAGAAGTGACTAGTGGCTAGCGAGGGGAAAGGGCTGGGGTGGGTGGTGGAGGAGGGTGTGGAGGATAAAGGGGCACAATAATTTGCAATCACAATGTAAGTTGGTCACAGGACAGTAGTACATGGAGAATACAGTCAGTGATTCTGCAACATCTTTCTGCTGATAGACAACAACTGCACTATGCACTAGAGGGGGTGAGGATTTAATATGGGTAACTGTTGAACCCTGTGTTGTAAGTACAGTCAATGATACTTAAGTTAAAAAAAAAATCATGGCTGGAAAGAAAGGACCAGACATTCTATGTAAAGAGAAGGGTTTTTATTCATAATTTCTGCAGGGAAGTGAGAAATACAGAAGGAACATAATTTGTGTCCACATTGGTGATACTCCTGGCCGCCCAACCACAAATCACAGAAATGGAGTAACAGAGATCTGAGCCCAGGATTTACATCCAGGTGGGACCCCTACCAGGGTCCCATGCAGCACCTTCCCTGGGTGGGCACAGTCAGAGCCTCGTTGTTGTATCTTCCTCATTAATGGCATCACTTCTGCAGCATTTGCACCAGCAGCCTCCTGTACTGGAGGAGAACACACAGAGGAACTGACCTGGGCAGAGGGGGCAAATGACAGGGGTAGCCTGCCATTCCTAAGTGGCAGGCAGGCGATGGCAGGCTGTCAGCCGAGGCAGCCGCCAGCACCTTCCTGCAGAAGAGCCTGGGAGGGGCCAGGGCAGTGGCTTTCTCAGAATAATGGCCCCAGCCTCACAGCCCAGATTGTCAAGGGTGCTGAGGCTGAGTAGCCATGACAGTCAAAGGAGATCATGGAAGTAAAGTCCAAGTAGGGTGCCTGGCCCTGGACCAGTGTCAGCATTTCCAGCCCCCACCCAGCACTGACCCCCACCTCACTTCTGAAAGCCCCACTCCCTGGGGTGAGGTGCTGCCTCCTCAGATTCTCTAGTTCACCTGCATGTTCCAGGCCTTCAAGACCAGTGGCCCCAGAGGTGGTATCTCCCTTTACACTCAGCCAGCCCAAGCCCCCGGCCCTTATATCTGAGGTCCCTGGGGGTGACGGTTCTGTCATCAGGAGGGTCAGGGGGGTGGACTGGAGCGGGGAGTGGACCTTCTTTCGGGAATGTCCTTCCCTTCATTCAAATGCACTCACTGTAAGCCGGGGAGGGGACAGAAGGTGAGCCAGCAACAGGTGCTGCCGGGGAGCTCTCGGACTGGCAAGGGTTCCTGTTTCTTGAGTGCTTTCTGTGCGCCAGGCATCATGCTGAGCATGTAACATAAGGGGCTTCATGTAATGAGAGATGGGTGCTATTATTCCCATTTATGGATGGGGAAGATGAGGCTTTGAGAGATTAAACGACATTTCCTAGGTCACCCCGTTACTAAGTAGTTCACCCCATCCTGTCTCGTCCCACTGCCTTCTGTACATGGCAACAAAATACCAGGCCAGGAGCAGGGACAGAGGAGCTGCTGCTACCAGAGATGCAGGCTGGCTTGGCTCCAGCTTGGGGACACTGAGCCCCGGAGGTTAGTGGTTTCCAACAAGAGTGCTTTGGGCTCTCTCCCTGCCCCTCACCAGAGGACCTCTGCCAATGTCTGGGGGCATTTCTGGTTGTCACAATCGGAGACAGAAGGTGCTTTAGTGGATAGAGACCAGGGACGCCGCTAAACCTCCTACAAAGCCCAGGACAGGCCCCACAGCAAAGAATTAGCCAGCTCGGATTGTCAAGAGAGCCGAGGTTGAAAAAACAAAACAGAACAAAAACGATTGCTGAGGTTGAGAAACCCTGCGATTGGCCCCCGAGGCGGGTGAGACTGGGAAGAGCACCCAGCACGGTGGGCAAGGTCTAGACCGTCTTGGGTGCAAACTGACTCTCCTCTGTCTCTTCCCTCTCTGGGCTTCAGGGTCCCCGTTCAGCCCACAAGCACACACCGGGCACAGCACAGGTGGACAGCTGGGGCGGGGCGAGTCCATGTGGACCGGGGCTCTGGTGGGGGGAGGTCCTGCCGCGGGAGACTGGCTGATCCCAGGCTGGGCCTTGAGACGGGGCAGTGGGTGAAGAGAGCTTCCTCCTCTACTTGTCGCTTCGTAGTAGCCTCCCTTTGAGCTCTGGGACACAAAGGGTGCCTGGAGTCCCTGGCTTCTGGGGCCCATTGCAGCCTGGCGGGGCAGCCACCCCCTAAGCCAAGTGCCGGACCCCGGGGCAGCCTGGCTGGGGCTTTCCTGGGCTTGAGGTGGCGGTCCGGGTGCGAGGCTCACCTGGGTGTGCGGTGCTGGGCCGCCGGGGCCCGGGCCCACGGCCTTCTTCAGCCGGAGGATCCCAAGCAGGTCGTGACTCCGCTGCAGACGCTGGGCCCTCGGGGAGATCTGGGGCGCTGTCCCCAGGAGGGATGGGCTGGGGGCCTCCAGACTCTTCTTGCCCATGAAGTGACCTAAAACGGAGGTGCCGAGGCATAAGGAAGTCAGGGAGCAAGGACCCAGCGCAGTGGGAAGGTTCTCATCTCTCCCACCTGTCAATTCTGGTGTAAAGATGCGAAACCTTCCTGCTTCGTCACCGAGGAGCCACAGAGACCCGCGGGTGGTGGTGAGGCGGGACCTCGGCCTGTCCTGAACGGGGCAGGGCGGAGCGGAGGGCACGGACGGGGGAAGGTGGGGATGGCCCAGGGCCAGCGAGGACCCCTGCCCGTTGTGCTGCCCGCCTGGAAGAGGGAAGGGGAAGGGCCGGGAGTGGAGAATGGAGGGGGTCTGGAAGGCGGAGGTGCAAAGGGATGGCACCCAGGGGGTAGAAGAGGATCTGGACTAAAAGAAGGGGTGCCGGCTGGCGGGCAGATCCAGGATGCAGCCTCAGCTCTGCGTTGAACTGGCCGAGTGACCTTAGCCAAGTCACTGACCCCTCTGGGGCTCAAGTTCCCCGTCTACAAACTAGACTAGTTGCAGGGTCCCCAGCAGCCGCGAGGCCGTGGCCGAGGAGCAGCCGCCGAAGGCGAACGGAGCCAGAGCGGGGAGGGCGCTTGCTGCCTGCACTTTGCTTACACGGATGCAGACCCGGGGCAGCCGGCGCTGTACCCACGCCAGGCCGAAGAGGGTCGAAGACTTACCGGTGGCCCAGAGGTTGCCCCGCGGGCGCACGCGGATCTTGCCGGCCCGGCCGCGGGACTCCTGGAGGTCCAAGCCGGGTGAGGCGGTGCCGGCGGCCAGCAAAGCGAAGAGCAGGAGGCCGCCGAGCAGCCGCGCGCCCTCCGCCCGCAGGGTCATGGCTGTGCCCAGGCGGCTGCCGACCCCACACTCCGCAGCGGCTGAGTCTCGGGCGCCCGCCTTCCCTCCTTTTAAACCCGCGCCCTGAGAGCGGGGCCCGCCCCGGAGCCCGCCCCCGCCCCGCCCCCACTCCTCCACGTGGACGCCCGCTCCCCAGGGTGTCCGGCCCAAGGCCACCTCCTTCAGGCTGACCACCTGGCCCGGGGTCCACGCCGGGCCCCCTGGTTCTCCGTGTGAGCCAAGCGCCAGGCAGCGGAGCAGCTCCACGGGATGCGTGGCAGGCGCTGCCCCCTGGGGAACCTGACCGCCCTCCTCCGCCGGCACTCACCAGCGACCTCGGAGACCGCAGCGGGGCCGGGGTGGGGATGCGGGATGACGGCCGGATGGGCGCTCCGCGAGGGAGAGCCTGGTCTGTCAGGCGGGAGGAGCCGGATCTCTGGGTCAGAGCGGGGCGGGCACTGGACCAGGAGTCCATATATAAGCTTGTGACCTCACTGAGCCTTTTTCTTCTATTAAGTGGGACTAGGCACACTGCCCTGTTTTTAATAATTTTACAAGTTTTAGCACTTACTCCGTGGCAGTTGGCAGCAGTCCTATGGACTGCCCTCTCCTCTCCCCAAGGAGCTGTCCAGGCCTGTCTTGGGAAGAACCTGCATCAGAGGCATCACTTAATGAGTAGGGGAAGATGCTGTGCTCCAGAGTAATACATTTATGTCTGCTAAAATGTTTACCAAACACCAATGTTCAGAGCAGTATGCTGGGCGCAGGAGGAGGGGAGAACGTAATTCCCTGCTCCCAAAGGACTTTACCACTGCACCGAAGACAGTCCAGAATGGGGCACACGCTAGAGGGGCAAGATACAAACCAACCCTGGGACTCAGTCTTCCCGGCAGTGCCAGAACCTGCTTCCCAGGCCGGCTCGACAATGGTACTTGCCATTATTACTCTTGCTCTGTATCCAGCTCAGCAGGCCCGGCTAAGCTTCAGGGATCGCCACATTAAAAGGGGGAGCGTGTATGAGCAGCTGTCATGCTGAGCTCTCCGGAGCATGACACAAAAGACAGGGATACTCCATTTCTGGCCCTGGCTTTGTCCCAGTCTCCTTGCTTCTCCTCCCCCACCCTGGCATTCACGCCGCTCTGCATTCCTGTCACTGCTTAGCCATGGTGCACAGACACATCTCTTACCACCTTCCCATAATAACCATTCCTTTTGTGCCCCTTCCCTCTCCTCTGCATCCATCGCACACTCATCCTACCCTCTCCGGCCCAATGATGCAGGAATTAGGAACACTAGCAGCTGGTCTTGAGTGCTGCCCCACTTAAATGCTTGTCGGAACCTTATCTGGTAGGTTTATCCCTCCTCGTTTTATAATTGAAAACAGGCTCAGAGGTGGAGTCACTTGCCCACATGTCACACTGGAATCAGACTTTGGGGCTGTTCGGACCACAAAACCGTACAGAGCACATGCTGCTTTCCCTAAACCACACCCACTCCCATTTTACCACTTTAAGTTTAAACACCAAGTTGGTTTGGATTTCTCAGAGGGGAGAGGGAGCAGGCACTTTATTTAGACCTCACCTCTACTGAAGGTGCCCCAGGAACCCTGGGCTCTGCTCTGACAAGTTCGTTTACACTGAGGCTCCTCCTCTGACAAGCCTGGGCTCACAGCTCCAAGACTGAGCCCACATGCCCCTAGGATCATTTTATGTGTCAGCAGAGCACAGGAAGGAAGGCCTACGAGGAGCCTGGAGAAAGCGGGGCAGTGGCTCCACAGCCAGCTACAAACACTGTCCCAGGAACAGAAAGCCATAGGCCCAAGCAGAGAGGGTGACTTGCCCAAGACAGCGTGTCTGAGCAGGATGCCCCGGGGGGGCTGGGCTCAGAGTTTAGAACAAGGGCCTCAACCACGGACTGTTGCTGTTCCCCACGTCCGCTGCAATGACGAGGGAAGGCTGACAGTGAGCCACACGGAGGTGCATGGCGACGCTCTCAGCGTCCACTCTGGACCCTTCCTGGGTTTCTACGGCATCCGAGGACATCCACAGAGAACACAGAGGATTCACGGGACAACCCAAAAGATGATCACAGGGTGAGATACACAGCAAATCCTGTCATGACTGACACCAACAAAACATTTAAACTACATCATGGTTTTTAATCAAAGACTGCCAGAAGTAAAAAACATGTATTGTTGTTTGCTCTATTTTCATTAAATTGGAATCACCTTCTCATAAGGGCATCTCCATTGTTTCCTAAAAGCACTTCATACATGCTCCTTTCATCACCGACACTATATGTAGAAAGCTAGTATTATGCCCATTTTATAGATAACTAACTCAAGTGCAAAGCCAAGTTAGTTGCAGAGAAACTAAAGAAATGGAGAAAACCAGAGCATGGACCTCAAACACATGAAAGGTACAGAGGACAACAGAGAAAGCAAAAAGCTAAAGTTTAAATCAGATGTAACTGAGTCTAGTGAAAAGGACTGACAACAGATGCTGAGCTGCTCAGAACAGAAAGGTGTGAAATGACTCTCCTGGCAAACCTCTGAGCACAGACTGTGGGGCCTGAGGGGAGACATCCGGATAGCTCGGGTCCTGCTCTTCAGCTCCAGAATGGGGAAGGGGCTGTGGAGTCAGGAAAGGGCAGGCTCTCTAAGAGAGGGGGAAGGGAGAATCAAGGGTCTATGATTTAGGAAAGTCAGAGGGAATACATAGGGATCAGCCTGAAAATCTGAACATTAACCATTAATAAGGAAATATTTCAGAAACTGAGATTGCCAAAATACAACATCTTTTCTTGTAAAGACTATATTCAAAAAGAGAAAATACCTACATCGAATGAGAATGATGACAACCTCAAGAGAGGCTAGAAAGGTAATGAAAATCTAAGAAATGAAGAAGCCCTGGACCTACCATCGGTCTTATTTGGGAGTCACAGTCAGGTACTCCAGGGGACATTCCAGTAACTGAAATAAATCCTCTTTAAGCTTCAGAGGCTTAAATGTGTGGAAATCCGTCTGAGAATCTCACTATTTCTAGGAGATTCACTAACTGGAGCAAATCCACAGAACAACCTAGAGCCTCTAAAGGACTCCCAAAGCCCTTGAAATTGTGTTTATTCTGAACAAAAGTCTTTATAGAAGTAGAACGACTGGGCTATGATGTCCGAAAGCAACAGACCCTGAGGCCTGGCTCTGCCATCCACGGGCTGGGAGATTCCATGGGCAAATCTCTTAGCTTCCGGTTTCTCTTTTATAACATGGAGTTTATTTTGAGGAATAAATGAGAGAAAATAAAAAATGTGTTATAAATTCAGAAGCACTTATCAGAGTACATAGTAAATTCTAAGTACTCAATATTATTAGCTGGATCCTGGGAAAAGCAAAGCCTTCTATAAACCTAAGCCTATTATAGGGAAAAAAGGTTTTCTGGACAGCAACTGAGGCCATGGTGTTGACACAACAGTCAACAAAATGCCTCTTGCACCATGAACTAACTGTATGGTAAACTAAAATGCTAGCATACTTACCTCAACTTCTGGCCAATGCCAAGAAACCAGTTCTCTCCAGCCTCCTCTCTCTCTTTTCACTTAAATAAGTTGTCAGGCTGAGGGCTTTGATCAAACCTTCATATTAGTTGATTAACTTAACATGCCTGACACAAATCCTGGGTACAAAGTCTTTTGACTTCTTGAATTAAAGCTGGAAACCAGTGTACTGGCCAAATAAAATAAGGGTTCTAGAGAAATGATTCTGAATCGAGAGTAGGTAGCATTCTAGAAATTCCTAAGATTGAGAGACAAAGACTTATAGTTTGAAAGTCATATTCAGTATCATAACTGTATGTACCAGAGGAATGACTATTGTTTTTATAATACAAACTTAAGAAAAAGCAAGATAAAATACTACTGGCTGGTGAGGGAAAGAGGATGGATGTAATACACCTGAGGGGGGAGAGTTCATCAGAACAGAGAAGAGGTATGAGATTTTTATGTGTCTTGTAAGAGGCCATGAGTTTCAAAAGATTAAGAAACATGATTAAACAAGATAGCGGCATGAGAAGTGAAGCAGAAACCTCCTCCCAAAATTACATATAACATGAAAATACAGCAAATATAATTAATCCTCAAAGAGCTACTGGGAAGAAGACTACAACAGACAGCCTACATCTGGTGAAAAGAGAAGACCTCATGGAGAAGGGTGAAGTAGCAAACCCGTGATCCGGGAGGACCCAAGCCCTCCCCCGACCCCAGCTCACCGGTGGGAGGAAGAGAAATGGAGTGGGGAATGAGTAGAAGCCTGGGACTGCTAAATACCCACCCCTGGAGATCCACTCTGGAAGCACAAACCTACATTACATGGTGCTCTAGAGATTAGAGGGGTTGGAAAGCAGACAGGTGGATGCTAGGACAGACTGAGATTGCAGCCCCCTAGCTGGCAATGCAGTACCGAGACCCCCCCCAGTGCTACATGCAACCTGCCGCTCCTTCCTCCCGGCTCGTACTGGTTCGCAAACCTGCTGCCCCCACCATTGCACAAGGCTAGCTGGAGGGCAGCCCGACCTAGGGCAGCACAAGGACTCCTCCTTGCACACTCAGCCCACTGGCCCTGGCACTGGAGGTGGGCACTAAGGCCGGGAAGCAGGAAAGTGCTCTTTCCTTCTGGCAGGCACTGGGGCCATGCAACTGCGACCCCCAACATCCCTCTAGGGGCCAGTTAGCTACAGAGAGTAGAGCTTCTGGGCACTAGAGGGCGCCGCCAACACAAAATTATTATTCCATAGCAATCATTAGGAATAAAATGGCCAAAGACCATGGTGCAAAGCAAAATCCCTCAAACACCAAAAAGAGGGCTAAGTGAAACTGAAATCACCAATCTTCCTGAAAAAGATTTCAAAATAAAAATCATAAACATGCTCACAGAGCTACAGAAAAATCTTCAGGACCTCAGGGAGGACTTCACAAGAGATAGAAACTTTGAAACATACAGTACGTGAAATGAGACATATATGGAGGGATTTAAAAGCAGATTAGGTGAGGTAGATGAGATGTTAAATGAAATAGAAATTAGAGAACAGGAATACAAAGAAGCTGAGGCACAGAGAGAAAAGAGGATCTCTAGAAATAAAATAATATTAAGAGAAAAATGCGACCACTCCAAATGGAACAGTATTTGCATTATAGGGGTAACAGAAGAAAAAGAGAAAGAAGGGATAGAATGTTTTTTTTTAAGGTGACACTGAGTTTTTGCCACATTTACTCCTAGTGAAATATACTTCAAGTATTCCACACACTTGATCACATTTCCCATCTACCAACAGAGTAATTAGCGAAAGCAGAATTTGGAGTTGCCAGGTTAATTGGTTCAACATAGGAATTTTAAAATAAAGTTTCTGTCTCACTCATCCTCTGTTGTACTGGGCACACTGCATCACTTTATGCTATAGGGACCCAGAACCAGGAATTTCTTGCTAAAAGATGAATAAACTCATCCAAAATCAGTTGACAACTCTTCTTCCAAAGATCACATGCAATAGGGTATTCTATTCCAGACATCTTTTTTTTTAAGTAGTCATAGCAAGTCACTAAATTGATTTCACAACCTATTTTTTAGGTCACAATCACAGTTAGGAAGGCTCAAACCCTGGCTCAAGACTCAGGATCTCAGTTCTAAGTCTTTGCTCTTCATCTGTGCAGGGATCACCTAGGAAGAGGTTCCAAATATTCCAAGTAGAGTATTGTGGTCTTTTTTTGTCTGCTGTATGATACACTCAAGAAGCCAGGTGCAAGTCAATGGGCAGCTCACAGGTCAGGACAGTGGTGCATAGATCGTGCAGGGCAGAAGTAGAGGAGTCTTGTGGAATGCTTTTTTTAGGAAGTTTTTGATCCCACAGGGATTTGGGCGACTTTATCTGTTGTAGAATCCCTAATTTACTTTTTGTGTTCACTTAACTTCTTTTCCTCTCATTTGCAACAATTCTGATGATTGCACCTGAAGTAGGTGACAGTGATTGGGTTCACCTAACCTTGCAAGCTTTACTTCATACCCCAAGCGCATGCTTTAGAGGGACGACGTGACTTTGGATGGTCACCAGCACAGGCTAAGTCTCTTCTCCCTGACAACAGTGATGGATTTTCTCTCGTCAACTATTATTTGTGGATCTTTCTTATTGCCTATTATTCCCAGATCACTGTGCTAGTGTCATGCAGGAGGAACCTGTAGGGCTTAAGAAATGAAGAAAAGCCAGGAGGCAACTGCATGAATTCATACACAAGGTCATCAGGAGCCAGGCTAAGATGCAGGGAACTTTAAAGATACCCGTTTGGCTGCTTTTGAATCACCTTTGGGCTGTTCATCTTCCAAAGGTTTACGTGACTCATCTGCATGGCTGATTCATCTGCTGGCTCCAATGTTTCCTGAGGCTTAAATTTGCTTCTGAGGCTCCCCATTCTAATATATCCTCTTGTTCAATCTGTAAAATACCTGATACAGTTCCAGTATGTTCCTCAATCATATTCAGTTTAGGTTCCTCAAAACTTTTCTGTAATCCTTGTTTTGCTTGCACTTGAGATGTTTTGTGCCACTACATTTTTCCCATTGAAGAAATATCCTGCCTCGAGGGGTACCTCTGCTCCCATTCAGGTGGTGGGAAAGTTGGCACTGCCGCCGCCCCGCCGAGTATCCCCACCGGCCTTTCAGAACCGCTACTGGCAGAGGAAGAATGAATGTGCTCAGCTGCTCAGCAATGAGCCCCATGCCCGCGCCCGTGCCCACCCCCTGGCTCTAGAATGTCTCTTTGAGGAAATAATTGCTGAAAAGTTCCCCAACCTGGGGAAGGAAATAGTCTTTCAGGCCTTGGAAGTACACAGATCTCCCAACACAAGGGACCCAAGGAGGACAACACCAAGACATATAATAATTAAAAAGGCAAAGATCAAGGACAAGGACAGAGTAGTAAAAGCAGCCAGAGAGAGAAAAAAGATCACATACAAAGGAAAACCCATCAGGCTATCATCAGATTTCTCAACAGAGACCTCACAGGCCAGAAGGGAGTGGCATGATACATTAAAGGCAATGAAACAGAAAGGCCTTGAATCAAGAATACTCTACCTGGCAGGGAATCAACAATTGCTAGATAAGCAAAAGTTGAGGGAATTTACCTCACACCAACTGTCTCTACAGTGTATTTTGGAGCAACTGCTCTAGATGGAAGTGTTCCTGAGGCTAAATAGCTGTCACCAGAGAAAACAAAACCACAGTAAAGGAAGTAGACCAATTAATTACTAAGCAGATGCAAAATTAAATTCAATTACCCACAAAGTCAGTCAAGGGATACACAAAGAGCACAGAATATAACACCTAATATATAAAGAGGGGAGGAGGAAGAAAAAGAAGGAAGAGAAAAAAAAAAGAACCTTTAGATTGTACTTGAAATAGCATAATAAGTGAGTTAAGTTAGATTGTTACATAGTAAAGAAGCTACCCTTGAACCTTTGGTAACCATGAATCTAAAGCCAGCAATGGCAGTAAGTACATATCTATTCATAATTACACAAAATATAAATGACTGAACGCACCAATCAAAAGACACAGAGTTCTGAATGGATAAAAAACAAGACCCATCTTGCCTACAAAAGACTCACTTCAAACCCAAAGACATACACAAACTAAAAGTGAAGGGATGGAAAAAGATATTCCATACAAATAATAGGGAGAAAAAAGCAGGAGTTGCAGTACTTGTATCAGGCAAAAAAGACTTCAAAACAAAGTAACAAGATACAAAGGACATTATATAATGATAAAGGGGTCAGTCCAACAAGAGGATATAACCATTATAAATATCTATGCACCCAACACAGAAGCACCTAATTATGTGAAACAAATAGTAACAGAATTAAAGGGGGAAACAGAATGCAATGCGTTCATTTTAGGAGACTTCAACACACCACTGACTCCAAAGGACAAATCAACCAGACAGAAATTAAGTAAGGAGACAGAGGCACTGAACAACACACTAGAACAGATGGACCTAACAGACACCTACAGAACACTGCACCCAAAAGCAGCAGGGTACATATTCTTCTCAAGTGCACACAGAACATTTTCCAGAATAGAACACATACTAGAACACAAAAAGAGCCTCAGTAAATTCAGAAGGATTGAAATTGTACCAACCAGCTTCTCAGAGCACAGAGGTATGAAACTAGAAATAAATTATGCAAAAAAACCCAAAAAGCCTACAAACACATGGAGGCTTAACATGCTCCTAAATAATCAATGGATCAATGACCAAATAAAAACAGAGATCAACCAATACATGGAGACAAATGGTAATAATAATTCAATACCACAAAATCTGTGGGACACAGCAAAGGCAGTGCTAAGGGGAAAGTATATTGCAATACAAACCTACCTCAGGAAAGAACAATCCCATACAAACAGTCTAAACTCACAATTAACGAAACTAAGAAAAGAAGAACAAATGAGGCCCAAATTAGTAAGAGGGACATAATAAAGACTAGAGCAGAAATAAATAAAGTCAAGAATAATAAAACAATAGAAAGAACCAATGAAAGCAGGAGCTGGTTCTTTGAGAAAAACAAAATAGATAAACCCCTAGCCAGACTTATCAAGAAAAAAAGAGAGTCTACACACATCAACAGAATCAGAAATGAGAAGGAAAAATCACTATGGACACAACAGAAATACAAAGAATTATTAGAGAACACTACAAAAAATTATATGCTAACAAACCAAATAACCTAGAAGAAATGGACAACTTTCTAGAAAAATACAACCTTCCAAGGCTGACCTAGGAAGAAACAAAAAATCTGAACAGACCAATTACCACCAACAAAATTGAACTGGTAATCAAAAGACTACCTAAGAACTAAAGCCCTGGACCAGATGGCGTCACCACTGAATTTTATCAAACATTCAGTGAAGACCTAATACCCATCCTCCTTAAAGTTTTCCAAAAGGTAGAAGAGGAGGGAATACTTCCAAACTCATTCTATGAGGTCAGCATCACTCTAATAACAAAACCAGGCAAAGACACCACAAAAAAGAAAATTACAAACCAATATCCCTGATGAACATAGATGCAAAAGTACTCTACAAAATATTAGCAAACCAAATTCAAAAATATATCAAAAAGATCATCCATCATGATCAAGTAGGATTTATTCCAGGGATGCAAGGATGGTACAATATCAAAAATTCATCAACGTCATCCACCACATCAACAAAAAGAAGGACAAAAACCACATGATTATCTCCATAGATGTTGAAAAAGCATTCAAGAAAATTGAACATCCATTCATGATAAAAACTCTCAACAAAACAGGCATAGAGGGCAAGTACCTCAACATAATAAAGGCCATATGTGACAAACCCACAGCCACCATCATACTTAAGAGCGAGAAGCTGAAAGCTTTTCCTTTAAGATTGGGAACAAGACAAGGATGCCCACTCT